AGTGTGTGAACTGTACTGTAGAGGCGATGCGTGCGGATGCCGATGTAGGGCAGTAAGGATGAGGAGGGCTGGAACAGAGTGACGTGGGACGGAAATGGTGATGCCGTAAGGAGTTCGGGAACAATTGGAAGAGATCAACTTGAATTGGGAGATCCAAGGTCCAAGGAACTGGTAAGAGACATTTACTATACGGACGGATAGACACGAATAGCGATGAAGACAGGGGGCCGGGGTCACAGAGTTCCTGACAGATTCAACCCACGTCAAGGAGCCCTTTCTGCGGAGGTTCTTGGTGGGTTGCGGAGGAGAAATGACGGACGAGCATTGGATGGAGGGGGTGGACTGGAAAGTGAGCCCAGATGGAAACAAGAGGTCCGAGATCCTTGCCATGAAGGAGCATGAGCCACAATGAGCCATACCTGACGGTAGCTAACTACTCACAGTCTCCTACAAGTGAGAGAGATGCCAGCATCCTTAGGGTGAGGAATAAAGACCCTCCCTTTGGACATGCGTCTAAAATAGCGGACAACGCATCGCATCCATCATCTATTGGCTCTCTTTCCCCGTGCACTTATGAGGCAAGTGCCTATCCGGAGAGCCAAGCAACCGTTGGCTCTTGTGTCCATGGCCTCATATTTAGCAGCGGGCGATGCCCTGGCGGCATTGCGTCAAGGCACGGAGCCGGACCAGTTTGTATGGGCGCACTGCCGTACTCCGTAAGCAAGGTGGCATCCAAGGACCAAGGAACCCATACTGCGTAAGGGTGGTAAAGGTAGGTAAGAATTCATTCATCTCACGGGCTGTCAGTTGACACGTGTAATAGACACAGGGTGCCTTACTTGAGAGATGATGGTGGGCAGCTATCGGAGGGATGCAGGCCCGACCTTGAACAAATCGAACGCAAGCCGAGATCCAAGATGCCCGAAGTGCGAAGGGAGGGGGCTTTTTACTCGCCGAATCCGTGAGTTTTACGGCGGCTGCAGATTGTGCACAAGGAAATCCCGTCGTTCCATTGCATGCGGCTCATAGAATTGTGCACAGGTAGCAGCTCGCGACGAGAAATATGCAAATTGCACAAACCTTGAGGCATCTAATCACTCCGAACTTGATCAAGTGACCATTGGCACGTGCTGTCTTGCACAATAGAGACAGCAAGCCAGATCCCTACTTACATACTGCGTACAGTTTAGCCATCAACTGGGTGACATGTTGGTGATCAAGACATCGAGAACTCTCTGCCATAAGCATGCGTATCAGCACTGCCAGCGTCTTTGACAAGAGACTGGAGTTATCAGTTGGAATCCTGTTTTGCTAGCCTCCTCCTGCTTTTCTTCCGCTAGATATAGAACAGTATCGGCGTTGGGATCGTTCAGATCTGCTCGCCCGTCGAAAGCGCACCTGTAGTGTCTAAACCAGCAATCGTATCCGCAGACAGTCTGGAGACCCAGTAGACACTGGAGAGATTTGCGGAGTTTCAATTGACTCTTGTGAATGCCCCGCAGCTCACGGCGGAATTATATATCATGAGCCGGCATTTATCTCCGTGATCCGGGTACAGCCGGCGGTAATGCCTGCCTGCGGATGCGGCGTCGTATTCGTTACCGGAGCTCGTCGTATTTCTCGCTTTTCGGATCACCTCCACATCTCAAGGTTCTTTGTGCAATCCCGGTTCTTCTTATCGATAAGATACTGATGAGGATAGAGAAATCGATAAGGGATGCCGAAGAGGTGCCGAAGCCGACCAATCAGACCGCGTCCAAAGGTAATTTCACAGAACGGCAGCGGGAGCCCCACCCCGGCATCGGTCATTTCCCCACAGACTCCAAATTTTTGGATCCGGTTGCCGAACAGTCATGACCTTGACGACGTCGCGAATTGCCGGAGATCAAATTGTTCAACTTTTGGCCATTGGCCTACCCAATTGAAGTCGTAATGTTGCCCATTGTACGTGTGCCATCTCATACCACTGCTCCTTCACTACGAGGCTGTGCTAACCCCCCGTGTTTTACAACAGAGAAGAACAGTGGCGCTCCACGCCGCAAGGAGCTGCCGTCGCAGTCTCCTGCAGCGCCAGCTTCCCTCGCGATCGATCCGGCCCAGCTTCTACACGACGACGACCCGTCCCCGCCAGTATGCCTTTCACTCACAACTCGAAAACGCCGCGACTGCGACCGAATTCCTCTACACATCCGCCCCCAAAGTCGAAAACCCCCAGACGTTGACGGAGAAGATTGTCCAGCGGCACTCGCTAGGCCTCGCGCCCGGCAAGAAGGTCCGCGCAGGCGACTACGTCACCCTCTCTCCTGGTGAATATCCCTCCTCATCCTCCTATATGCATACGCATAAGAATACCACGAGCGCATCAGGCTTACAATTGGTAAGGGAAGTGCATGTCCCATGACAACACGGCGCCCATCAGCAATAAGTTTGTCTCCATCGGAGCGACCAAGATTCACAACCCCTCACAACTCGTCTGGACCCTCGATCACGATGTCCAAAACAAGAGCGAGGCCAACCTGAAGAAATACAAAAAGATTGAGGATCTCGGCAAGCAGCACGGCGTGGTATTCTACCCGGCCGGACGTGGAATCGGTCACCAGATCATGGTGGAAGAGGGCTACGCTTGGCCCGGTACCTTGGCTGTCGCGTCAGACAGTCACTCCAACCACTACGGTGGTATCGGGTGCCTTGGTACCGCGGTCGTCCGAACAGATGCCGCCGCCATTTGGGCCACTGGCCGCACATGGTACCAAGTTCCCCCTATTGCCAAGGTACGGTCTATCATCAGCCGTTGCTCAGGGGTTCGTCACTAATCTTGGTTGCTCAGATCACCTTGACCGGAGTCAAGCCCCCCGGTGTCACCGGAAAGGACATCATCGTCGCGCTCTGCGGCCTGTTCAACAAGGACGACGTCCTGAACCACGCCCTTGAGTTCACCGGCTCCGAGGAGACCATGCGAAGCATCCCCGTCGACGAGCGCATAACAGTCGCAAACATGAGCACAGAATGGGGCGCCTTGTCCGCGCTGTTCCCCATCGATCAGACACTGGAAAGATGGCTCCGCGCCAAGGCCACCACCGCGGCGATGCTCAACACAGATGCCGCCGTCAAGGGCCGCTGGACCCACGAGCGCATCGACGAGCTTCTCGAGAACCCCCTCACGGCCGACGCCGGCGCAACATACGCCAAGTCCCTCTACTTGAACCTCGAGACCCTGTCCCCCTTTGTCGCCGGCCCCAACTCCGTCAAGGTCGCGACGCCCCTGAAGGACCTGGAGGCGCAGAACATCAAGATCGACAAGGCTTACCTCGTCTCCTGCACAAACTCACGTGCATCAGACATCGCCGCTGCGGCGCGCGTCTTCCGTGAGGCTGCCAAGGACGGCCAACCCGCCAAGATCGCGCCGGGTGTTTCTTTTTACCTTGCCGCAGCTTCCACTGTTGAGCAGGCGGCTGCTGAGGAGGCTGGCGACTGGCAGACACTTATCGACGCAGGCTGCTCCGTATTACCTTCAGGATGTGGCCCGTGCATCGGTCTCGTAAGTTGATTGTCTCTTCAACCAGGAATGATGAATATGCTAATACATCTTCTTTCGTAGGGAACCGGTCTTCTAGAACCGTTCGTACTATCTCTTCTGCAATTTCCTGGAGAACGATGGCTAACAGACACGCAGGGGCGAGAACGGAATCTCAGCAAGCAACCGTAACTTCAAGGGCCGCATGGGCTCCACCGAGGCCAAGGCTTACCTGGCCAGCCCCGAGGTCGTCGCCGCGAGTGCGTTGAACGGCAAGATCGCCGGCCCCGGCTGGTACCAGCAGCCCCAGGGCGTGGACAAGGTCATCATCGGCGAGGGTGTAGGTGATATCACCGCCGACATTGCCATGAGCATCGACGACGCCCTCGACCAGCTCATCGCGCAAGCCGACAGCATGATTGCCGAGTCTGAGAAGGGCGTCGCCGGTGCTGCCGCCCCTGCTTCTGAGGAACCAGCTGCCGCCGCGGAGAGCGAGGAAGACAGCCTCACGGAGGTCCTCCCCGGATTCCCCGAAAAGGTGGAAGGCGAGATCATCTTCTGCGACCAAGATAACATGAACACGGATGGAATCTACCCTGGTACGTAGATCGGAGAGAACTCACACCCTCAACTACACGATCCTCTAACAAAAACAACAGGCAAGTACACCTACCAAGACAACGTCTCCGTCGAGAAGATGGCCGAAGTCTGCATGGAGAACTACGACACCTCCTTCCGCGACATCGCCAAGGCCGGCGACATCCTCGTGTCCGGCTTCAACTTTGGCACCGGCAGCTCCCGCGAACAGGCGGCGACGGCCATCCTGGCCAAGAAGATCCCGCTCGTCGTGTCCGGCAGTTTCGGCAACATTTTCAGCAGGAACAGCATCAACAACGCCCTCATGGGCGTCGAGGTGCCCAAGCTTGTGCAGCGCCTGCGCGAGACGTTCAAGAACGAGGGCGAGGACAAGGTGCTTACGCGCCGGACGGGCTGGAAGCTCTGCTGGGACCTGAGGCGGTCCAAGGTTATCGTCACCGAGGGCAGCGGCGAGAGCTGGAGCGTCAAGGTTGGCGAGCTGCCGCCTAATGTGCAGGAGGTTATTGCCAAGGGTGGGTTGGAGGCTTGGGTTAAGGCTGAGATTGAGAAGTAAAGAGGAGGCCTGGGTGAGATGAAGAGAGCGGGGGAGAAGAAAGATCGAGATGATCTGCCATTTACAACACTGTTTTGAGTACTGCTATTGGGATACAACGGATGAGGCTTGTTTGTAGATTTGGTTTCTGAAAAAAGAGTACGCAATGCACTGGGGAGTTCAAAGTATCCTACAGATGACTTGACTGAATGGCTGCAAGTGGCATTTTCCGAGGAACATCATACGCCTACCCAACCCGTGACTCTCCTAGGAGCAGCTAAAAACGCAGTGGATTTCTGTTGCTTATTTTCTCTTCCCCGGACGTCGCATTCAAGAGCCTCTCGGTACGGGTTAAAAATGCAGTGCTCATGCGCCACTAATAAAATCAGGGAGCCTGTGTCGAAGCGTCTCCAATCCCCTCGACCTCTTTGGAGGTGTCGAAATTGCAGTGCAAAAGCAGCCTTACTTTTATTCACCGAACTCGTGTTTGGGCCAATCGTATACGAAAGACCAGAAAACCTCCGCATCAGCGTCGAGTCTCATCCGGGAATGAGCCGACAACGAAGCTGTGACTGCCAGATAAGCTTAGCTGCTGCTGCATCAAGAACCCGATTGAGAGACAAGCACAGGTCGTACAACCACAACGTCACAGGAACCAAGAAACCAAACCAGCCTGTGAAAATAATATTTCCATCCTGTCCAACGGGATTCGGATTTCGAACGCTCCAATTCTTACATGGACCGAGGAAGTATCACCGTCCTCCTGCTGATCCGGGTCTCGCTGATCTGATGTTTGGGCATCAGTCCAGGTTCCCCAATCGTCCCTCGAGAAGGTGGAGTTTAATCGTTTTGGCTTTCCTCCTTGGAGCTCGTTTAGCTCGCTTTCTACAAGGCAAGGGAAAGCGAAAGCGAGGAATACGACCAGGCCGGGATAGAGCGAGAGGTGATCCAACTGGCAACGAGCGAAGAGAAAGCTTGGTCACAAATTCAGGTAGGTTTTATGCTTATCCATACACTGCAAAGTTTAAGAAATCAAAAATGGCGTGGGGTAGAAGCGAATACGATTGCAATCACATCCCCAATCCCGCGTATCTTTCGTACAATCCTCTCACAAGGTGTTTAAATAGTGGCAGCAAATACGGAGTACGCGGGTCAACGTCTTGGGGATTTTCAAAGGACCAGAAAAACAAGCTTTGTGACATTGGATCTTGCTTGGCTCGTTGCAACCCCAAAAGGTGGGCGGTGATCACCTGAGGGTGGGAGGGACGGTAAGATGGAAGGGATGGAAAGGGGGGAGGAAACGATCTGGGCATGTCGCATTCGGACCCAGAACGAGCCGAGCCTCACAAGTCGCATGGCTTTGGGTAGAGCAGACGACGAACATGGTCAGACGAACGGGCAAGGGATGAAGAGACATGGGCAGAGTTCTCAAGTACGAGTCTTTTGTTTTCTCTCTCATTGATCTGACGAGGTTGACCATCTCACGACGGCGCATCAAACATGCCCAGCCCATCAACCTCTGGACTCGACCCACGATCCTCTGCGCTGCCATCCTTCTCTCCTTCAGCCTCGGCAGGCACGACGGCCAAGGGCCTCTCGGTAGCAACCAGCGCCCTCCTCTTCGTCTTCTTCATCAGCACATTGTGCCGCCGGCTCTTGACGTGCTTTGTCCAGTCCTGCTCCGTGACGCACGTCGTCTTGCAGACCTCACACGTCCGCCGACACAGCGTGCGCTCCATTTGCGCCGTCGCTTCCCTGAGAACCTCCCGCGCCGTCTCCGACAGGTCCGCAGGCGCGGGCATGGCCTCGCCCTCGAGGAAACGCTTTGCGATATCGACGGCCGGTTCGGCGACGTTGGACGACCATTGCGACACGTCGGTGCTATTCATGACGAAGAGGTGATTCAGCGCACCCGGTTGCTCCTGGAGCAGGGGCACAATCTTGGTACGGATCCAGCGCGTTTGATACTTTGCGTATTGTCGGGTTGATGTCTTCATCTCCTCAAGGCCCGCGGCTCTGAGAGCGTCTAAGGTCTCTGAATCGGTGGCAGGATCGCTGGCGTTCAGGGCCTTGAGGTAAGGCGAAAACTCCTTGAAGCCGATCGACTGCCAGATACCGCGGGTGTAGTCCACCTCTTGGCCAGCGGCCTCCTTGGCCTGGACGTATTCATACATGGACTGTGTCTCGTCGTTGAGACCGACGGCGAGCATCTTATCCACGCGTTTATCGAGGCGCTCCTTAAGCACTTCAGGCTCGGAATACACCCAGAAGAGCAGTGTCTGCCAAGGGCTTGCACTATTACCACCTTGGGACGTGTTGTCGGCCGCCTTGCGCTGGCGCTGTTCTGCATAGATCTCCGACGCTGGGCGGCCGTGTTGGAGGTATATGTGCAGCGAGCGTGAGATCTTGCGCCTGTCGTTGGGATGCCACCGGTCTGCCATGACGGGATCGACTTCGCGCAACTTGGCGAGTATGACCTCGGTTGGTTCGTTGAGAATCGGAAACGAAGATGCGTCTTCATCCTTGACGTCTGCAGCGCTGTCTTTGGCTTTGTCATCTTCAGGGCCAATGAGCGTGTCTTCAAAGAGTAGCGCATTCGTGTAGTAGTGGGTTCCGCCGACGACGATGGGCAAGTTGCCCCGGCTGCGTATTTCGCGGATGACCTTGTTCGCTTCGCGCTTGAAGTCTTCGACTATCCAAGTGGGTCGGTCGAGGCCAATGTGATCGAGTAAGTGGTGAGGAACACCGCGGCGCTCTGGGGTGGTGATCTTGTTCGTGATGATGGGCAGGCCTTTGTACATTTGCATGGCGTCTGCGTTGATGATTTCGCCATTGTAGCGAGTCGCAAGTTCGACTGCGAGCTGCGCACAGATACTGTCAGCCAATACGCATGGTAATGAGACGACTGCTTCCTCAACTCACCTCTGATTTTCCAGTCCCGGTCGATCCCAAGATAACCACCAAGGGTTCCGCGGGCGCATTTCGGGCTGTCATGTTGCCAACAACATTGTGTATGAACCTTCGGCCTATCACAGACCGAAAGATCATACCCAGAGAACCACCGAGAAAGGACACGGGGGAGGTCTACAGCATCGCGACTGCAGATGCTGTTTCGTGTCCTGTGGTGGTGAGTCTTGGGTGACTCTGCGATGACTCTGAATGGTGACAGTTAGGTACTCGGAAATCTGGAGGAGATTGGGAGGCAGGTGGCATCAGAATGCGTCGGAACGCGCCAGAAGAAAAAAAGTTTAGCGGGCAGGCACTGGATTGGGTGGGCGCTGGGATCCCTGAAGACCCCTGGCTGGAAGCTCGAGCCGAAAATGTGGAGGAGCACAGCTTAAAGCTCTCCCCTGAATTCCCCAATTCCTAGGTCATTTTAGGAGGTATTAAGGTAATAGGTACTCTACGTACTAAGGTAAAGGCACTTGGGAGGCACCTGAGTGATTGGACGCATCACGTGTTCTGACAAAGCTCCACCAAAATTTTGGACACATCGACAATTTGGCGTTTTTGAAGCCAGATCGCAGCCGACCCTCTTTTTTGGGCTTCCCTCCCGCTCCTCTTGCTCCCTCTCTCCTTAATAACCTCCTCTCTCCATCTCCCCATCACCACTCCTCCTCACTCCCCTCGCCACAACCTCTGGAGCCATTGTCGCTCTCCATCTCTCTCTCTCTTCTTTCCCCTTCTTCATCTGGATGAATTAATCCTTTTGTTTATTGATTTCTGCCCAGTGTAACAGCCCATCATGAGTTCCCGTAAGTTCATCCACCCAACCTCGTCAACCTCCGCGAATCGCGTGCTTTGGGGCGCATAGCTCCAAAAAGGACACGCGCGCGATATTCGTCGCCAACGATGCCTCCGCAATGGCCAACGAGCACCCACATCATACTAGGACAACTCAATGGCTAACCAACGCGCTTTCCGATCACAGTACGGTTCCTCGACCTGGTCAAGCCGTTCGTGCCGTTCCTCCCTGAGGTTCAGCAGCCGGAGACCAAGGTTCCCTTCAACCAGAAGCTGATGTGGACGGCCCTCACCCTCCTTATCTTCTTGGTCATGAGCCAGATGCCCCTTTACGGCATTGTCTCTTCCGACAACTCGGATCCCCTATACTGGCTGCGTATGGTTATGGCGAGTAACCGCGGAACCCTGATGGAGCTGGGTATCACCCCCATCATCTCCTCCGGCATGGTCTTCCAGCTCCTCGCTGGTACCCACATGATCGACGTCAACCTCGACCTCAAGAGCGACCGCGAGCTGTACCAGACTGCCCAGAAGCTCTTTGCCTTCATTCTCTCCGCCGGTACCGCCACTGTCTACGTCTTCACCGGTCTCTACGGCCGACCTTCCGACCTTGGCGCCGGTATCGTCTTCCTCCTCGTCCTCCAGCTCTTCGTTGCCGGTATGATCGTCATTCTCCTCGACGAGCTCCTCCAGAAGGGATACGGCCTCGGCTCTGGTATCTCTCTCTTCATCGCCACCAACATCTGCGAGTCCATCATGTGGAAGGCCTTCTCCCCCACCACCATTAACACTGGTCGTGGCCCCGAGTTCGAGGGTGCCGTCATCGCCCTTTTCCACCTTCTCCTCACCTGGCCCAACAAGCAGCGCGCTCTCCAGGAGGCCTTCTACCGCCAGAACCTCCCCAACATCATGAACCTTCTGGCCACCATCCTCGTCTTCGCCGCTGTCATCTACCTCCAGGGCTTCCGCGTCGAGATCCCCGTCAAGTCCTCCCGCCAGCGTGGTGCCCGCGGCTCTTACCCCGTCCGCCTCTTCTACACCTCCAACATGCCCATCATGCTGCAGTCCGCTCTGTCCTCCAACATCTTCCTCATCAGCCAGATGCTGTACTCCCGCTTCTCTGACAACCTCCTCGTCCGTCTTTTCGGTGTCTGGGAGGCCAAGGACGGCTCTGCCCAGCTCTCTGCCATCTCCGGTCTGGCTTACTACATGTCTCCCCCCTTGAACTTCAAGGACGCCCTCCTCGACCCTATCCACACCGCTGTCTACATCGTCTACATGCTGGGTGCCTGCGCCATCTTCTCCAAGACCTGGATTGAGGTTTCCGGCTCCAGCCCCCGCGATGTCGCCAAGCAGCTCAAGGACCAGGGTCTCGTCATGGCCGGTCACCGCGACCAGAGCATGTACAAGGAGCTCAAGCGCATCATTCCCACTGCCGCTGCCTTTGGCGGTGCTTGCATCGGTGCTCTCTCCGTTGCCAGCGACCTCATGGGCGCCCTCGGCTCCGGCACTGGTACTCTCCTGGCTGTCACGTAAGTTTCTGTCTCTGTTCAAAGTTTACAAGAACCATTTCTAACGAGCACTTAGCATCATCTACGGCTACTTCGAGATTGCTGCCAAGGAGGGTGACCTGTCTGGTATGAAGGGCATGATTATGGGATAAATATTGCCAGTCAACGCGACCGACATATCCCCTTTTCATATATATCGAAGCTTCTTCCTTTGTTTACGCGAGGCTTCCAGCGGCCATTATACGAATGGTGGCTTCCTGTGTAATAACACGGCATACATTATTATAAAAAAGTCATGATGATGTCTTCAACTATTGGAGAACAAAAGCAATGGGTTTACACGGTGATGGGTTCAAGGTAGCATTAGGAACCGGGCATGCCGCTCTCGCGGAGCATCTCGATGAAGAACGGCAGGACGACAAGGTTACTGCAGATTGCGACAGAACATGTCGTGAGTCCAAGTATCCCGTCCGCTCCCGTCTACCGAGACTACGCGCTGTAGAGTATTGTATCTAAAACCATGTATGCGAACAAATCCATTCCACGCACCCCTAAATTTACCTCCATGTGTCTGCATCTGGATGCCGTGACCGGTGATGTCCTCTATATCATGTGTATCATGTACTTGCACCATAGGGGCCCTGTTCAAAAGATATACAGTAAGGCATGATTTTTGGTCGCGGTGGCCCGATTAGCGACCGACGTTTCCGTACTGAAAGGGACGTCAGCTTGACGGACCCTGATCCTCTACTAATGACTAGGTCAAATGCTTCCGTTGATCGTCGTACTTGGTATAGGAGCAGTGTTCCTTTGTTCCAGCTTCAGCGAGTGAGCTCCTATCCAGCATCCTTTTACAGTCGTTATTGAAGAGAATCTGAGATCTCTCAAGAGTGTATAGGAAGAGAGGCAATTCTCACCAAAGACATCAAGGATAGCAAAAGCAACGTCTTAAAGTTTCCATATATGTATCGTCCTCTGCCTTATAGCTGAGTCAGAACATCGTTGTTATTGCTCGTCTAAATAGAACATGTTAGCCATCTTCCCCTATACTAGCCTTCGTTTAACTCGATAGGATAATTGTGAATGTGTGTAAAGATGAACGAAGTAGTAAAAGACTTTATATCCTCGTAAAGATCGGTTAAAATATTTGACTTAACCTTTGAGACAACAGTAGTAACAGTGTTGGACGTAGCTTACCTCAACTTAACATAGGATATCAGGACGCGTTAATTAATATCTTGCGGTCGTATACTTATAAACTATCTTCCTTTATACTCGTTATCGTCTCATGTCTTAGCTATCCTCTTTCATCAAAGCCATCTTCCTTTATCCCAGCTACCTTGTATCCCTAGCTGTCCTCCTACCACTCGACACGACGAATACGTCCGTGTGCGACGATGAACAATATAGTAGATGAAAACCCGGAGATTGCCTTTGCTTGATGTAGGACATTGGGACTTACCTCGAATAATTAGAGACCTGCTTCCACTTCACCTTCCCTGCTCGCGCGGTCCCTGTGGCTGCTTGATCCTACGTTTGCTGCTGCTCCCGCCTCCCGCATCACAGTCCTGTCACGCTTTAATAGATTACTAGCTTGAGCAGAGCTTGCTGCTACTGGTTTTCGAACGGCAGCCAAGGCCAAAGTACCTCTTCTTGGCGGTCTTCCTAGGTGTTGTGAAACACGTGGTCCTTGAAGAGATAACCCAGGCTTGGTTAGATACTTGAGCACCGGTCACAGGTGTCTTTCCCACGTAGTGAACTCCGGGGGGTTGAAAGAGAAGCTAACCCTTCACGCCGTAACACCCGCGTTCAAAGTCACAAAGAGGGCAAAGCCAAACTTTTATCTGTGATATCACGGTTCACGAAGCTGTCGAGCGCAGTCTATCGGATCGTGGCATATCTCTGTCCTTTTCTTGCACCAGCCGAAGTACAGCCTCTCGATTGCTGTTCGTCTATCATTGTATATCTCGAGTCTAGGGAAACGGATATCCTAGAGAGATGAAGATGTCGCCTGCCGCAGCTTAAGAGCGTTTGGTCCGGAATATGGCCAAGTGGAAATCGGCTGAACTGAATACTTTGATAGTAGGTATTCAAATAATTGTGAGTGATGGCGAATCGCAAAGTTGGTTAAGGTACATGTCTTCCCTTGGCGTAATTTCTTGTTTACTTGGTACAGGCCGAACAGCCATAGAGTATGTACTCGACGTCAAAGACTCTCGCCTTGGGGTCCAGCCCAGCTTGCTTCTTCGACTTGCCCGCTTTATACGGATCCACTTGCATGAGGAACGCTGCCTCTGCCCTAGCCGTCGGACTAATTTATGGAGGCTGTAGCACTGTTATGCTTATGGATGTGTCCCGCAAGGTCTTACTAATGCTGAAGGGCTGGATATCGTATTTGGTAGTATCTTTGATGGGTAGAAGGGTTCCGGGTCTTCTTCCGGTCTTGCTCTTGGCCGAGGTGCGCTTATGATGATTGTCTATACGCTGAGGTGATACTTGTCTGTCTGCTGTCTGCTTCTGCTTTCCCATGGAGGCTTTAGTTCGGCCATCGCCGCATGTACTGCAACCCGAAGGTACGAAGACACGCCCACTGCGAGATTTCTGGTACATTAGAGCAAGAGTAGAGCTGTTTCAGGAAGCAACCTCTAGAACAGGAGACCCCATCGTTTGTGGATGAATCAAGCGTAGGACGATCTTATATCGAATCTGCAGTTTGACTTATGCAATCATGCTATGGACATGTCTTCAAGCGGAAACCCACGTTCTACTATTGTGGTGACTAATACGGGCAAATGGGGCGAGGAGAGGTCGGATTGCCTCTGCTGCGTTTCGATTGTAGTTACCCGTACGCAACAACGCGGGAGCTTAAGCGTAAGCAAGTCACAACTTGATCTCTGCACGACGAGGGGACCAACAAAAGAGGCTCGTACTCTGTAGGGATCTTATCTCCCTCTTTGGCCCCCAAACTCCTCGGGCCCCTCTCCTATCACGACGCGGTGTCATGCTGACTAGCCTCGCCTCGCCTCGCCTCGCCCCTCGGATTCACGTACAAACGGTCCACACGGGGAAGACAGGGACTCTGCAACAAGAAGGTCGATATCTCCCAAACCCCCCTACCCCCGGCGAAACAATTGTTGGATTAGCCAAAATATTTCCCCCCTGCAGAGTCCATATCAAAAACTCACGTCAGCATATTAACGGGAGCCGCCATTCGCCGGCGTCTCTTCATCGTCCTGCAGGCTCGCCTTGTGGGCTCTCGTTCGTGACCACGACAGCGGGCGGGCAACGGCATGACAAGGGTGAAAGTACAACAATCACAACACTTACGAAAACGAAAGTTCCTCTTGGCCTCCTCGAAAAATGACGGTTTGTGTACACAGAGTCTGGGCCCAGGTTACGTCCCGCCTCGCGCCTGCATACTGTGATCCTCCGCCTCCCCGACGTTAATCGGCATGGTGAATGTGGCCTAGTCGTGTCGACAGTGGCTTCGCTTCTCGGCACGAATGAAGCAGGAGGCATTGCCCAATGAATGGTACCAAATCATGGGTTAGGGGAGTTGTGAGTGTCTCGGCGTTGGGGGGGGGGGGGGGGCAGGCCAAACTGTTCTTGGCCAGCCTCGAGTATGGGTAGCGCGTCACCGCGTCTACGCTTGCGATGGGTCCTTGAGGGCGTCGACCGGTAGAATCCTGGGACTGCCTTAGGTTACGCCTGGCGTTGTGTCTGTTTCGATGACCTCTGCTAGGTTCAAAATTTTGACGGCTAAGTGGCGGCTGGGTTGAGGTGTGCTTTGATCTTGAGGGCTCTACAGAAGTTGTGGTGGGTTAGGCGATTTGTATCTAGGAACCACCGAAAGATCTGCTCGGACAAGTGATGTCACCGCTATAGTTGACGCTCTGTCTTTTACTAGATATGCATGCGAAGATCGGACACACAGAGGGAATTGGATGGCTGGCTTGTCGACGTTGAGATTTACGTACGTCGCGCCGAAACAAACATCACCAACCACGGCAAATTACCTAGCGGCAGATGCCGCAAATCGAAATCTTGAGGCATCTAGGTGATGTATCCGTAGCCTACTCTACTCCGAAGAGGAAAACACAAGAAAGCGGCGGCTATGGGATCGCAAGGGGCTTGCCGAGTACCGACGCGCGGTCACCTGTCTTGGGAACCGTTGACTTGCCGGCCAAGGGAATCGTGACTCGCAAGAAATGAGATTATGTGTCTCAGATTCCATTGCTCCGCCAGATTTTTTATTTGATACTGCTACAGAGCAGTCTCCTACTCAAGGGATACAGACGTCTCCTGAGATACACATGCCTGGCTCCGTTCTGCAGCACACAGTGAATGGCAGGTCTCATTCCTGGACTCAGACGATGATCGAGATTGAAGGCGAGACCCGAGAAAACGGAAGTGAAGAGTTTGGGATGGAAGGCACACGTGTTGCCTTACACAACGCTTCTTGGCATCAGGAGACGATGGGGACATATATTGGAGGAGCGATCCCCTGACAGAAAGATTATCTGATTGATAATGTGATCCTGTGGCCAGGATCTGGTCGAGTAAGAAGAGGCCGATCGCCCAGGTGGGCACGGACAAAAGCCGCCAAGATGTGCGATGTACAGATACAAAAATGACTGATTTTCTGTCGGTCAACAAGGAGGCATCACAGTCTTGCAAAGAGAGCGGCTCTTGACCTGTGAAAGTGATAGGAAGACTGCGAGGGCAAGCAATCCGAGTGGATGAAGTCTAGGAATGGGTGTGCCATAGGTAGGTAGACCGGAGCTACCTTAGCTGGTAGTCGATATCCAGGATGATATGATGTACTTTAGAGTTCCCCGGACAGTAGTTCGTCTTCCTGACCGCATCTGCGCTGTAACGTCAAAAGAGGAGAGAAGTGACAGGGCTTCGTCGACGACCCTGCGCTTGAGAGAGGGAACGGTTCCCCGGGCCAGGAGTAGGACAGGTCGGAGTTGAGTAAGTGGGTGCACAGCTCGGAGCCGCCGCAACGCCGAAGCCATCAGTGCAGGCTTGCGTGCTGCAAGCCGTTGAACACGCGAGGCCCGCCTCTTATCGAACAATGGTTGGGCCAATCATGAGCTACCGGGACGGTGATGGTTGATTTGTAGCGCCTTCAACCCCCGCAACCATGCCATTGTGTGCTTCAGCCGGCTGCATGTATGCACAGGATGAGACCAAGAAACAGTACCCATTGGCGTTTCCCTCCAGAGGGCTGCAGCCATCGGGTGGTAGCTTCTTGTCCAAGTTGTAGCCGTGTCGAGTTGGTGGTGGTGGAAGGTGACAGGGTCCAGTTGACAGAATAGTGTTTGTAGTGGGCGGTCTCGAATGGCGGTGAAGGTGAGTCAGAAGCCGTTGATATGTAATTTCTTGGTGGCGGCCGAATGCCGTTCGTTTGAGATGGACTATGGGCCTAGGGGCTACGATACAGACGAATTTGGGACGGGGGTTGTAGCAAAGGATCGGGTTCCCTAGCATTATCTTGCCTCAACGGGAAGGTCGAGCATTTGGCAGTGATGGTGGTGCCTGGAGATGCGGGCTCATGGGGGCTCGATTAGTCGATTCCGATTCTAGAGGGTCGAGTCCAGATATGCTGAGTCCAAGCGATGTTGCGTGATTCGCCCGGGCTACTTTGGTCCTCAAAGACAAACAACTGAGGGGTTTCGGGGTGCATTGCAGAGAGCAGCCGCGTGATGAACGGATAAGCAGATCGATTGACGTGATTGGAGTCTACTGGCAGGTCATGAGGCTTCGGTTTCGCCATGGGGAATGCGCGCATATCGTTCTTTGGAGTCTGGCCTGGATCGCGGAAACTCTTGCCGGCGTTCCTGATACTGAGGACATTCATTGTTTGCTATTGCTTGAGTCCATTCTGTCGAATTTGTCAAAGACTGGGATGTGCACTTAAGCCATCGTATGGAAGCAGTTCTTCTCGTGCTATTTGATGCTCCACCAGCTTGGAAATTTGCGAGGCATGACAGGACGTTTCCAATGCCCTATGCCGTCGCAGCTCGCATCCGGAGGCATTCTTCCAATGCGGTCAGCAGATAATATCGGGAGCACTGAGTGTCGGGCAAATAGCTGCACAATGCATTCGTAGTGGTTGCAGGCCAAGTTGGCTTCTGACGTTGGCGGCGGGAGCGGCAGCGGAGACGGCGCACCGCATGTTCCTGGGCCTGGGCCGGGAGAGGTTGGAAAGTTTGAGCCTCGTGGCGGCTATTCTCAGTCTTTACAAGCTGCCCTTGGCAGAGCAGCTGGATAGAGGTGGGATGTTCCCGGTCAAAGGCATTGTGTATGCCCGTCAACCTGGGTTGCAAGCAGCCTTTTTCTCAAGTTTTGGCGGTAGGACATAGACGGACAGACGGTTGAGCATGACATAGTCTCACATAGTACAGATGAGAGGCGTGAGCGCAGATGGCCATGCCAACGCCGGGACTTGATGCTGGCGGATACCGAGATGCCAGTGTGGAATTGGCGGTACTTTGTAGGTAGGTCAAGGTGATGTAAGACACTCCATCGGTGCCCACCACTTGGGCCGAAAGTCTGGAGCTCTGGCTTGGCTTGAGACATGATGCTGATCTCATCGGTGGTTGCAAGCTGGAGATGTCACAGGCAAGTCGCAAGTCGAATAGCCGCAAATGTGCTTCCTCGTTTTCTGCTTTGTCTGGCCAGATATGCTGCAGTAATCAGGGAGTTCCGCTGCTGCTGATACGGCGTTGCCTATGCCGCCGTTTCCTGCAACAATAAACACGACGTGGTGGAGCAGAGGAGCGTGGAAAGGCTACCAGGCCGACGGTGGGAGGCAAGCATCTGCCTGCGAGGGCGTCGGGCTGCCGGGAGCAACGCCCATGGCTCAGGGGTGCATGACTGATGATTGCAGTATGGATGTTGGACGAATGGATGAATAGATGAGGATGGAGATAGGGACGCCGTACTTTGACTAGGTGTTAAAGAGAGAACGATATCGTCATATCATGGAAGGGAAAGAGGACGATGCGAGAGTCACGATGGCTTCCTTCCCTTAGGTCCCTTCCTTGGGCTGTGTCCTCTGTGCGCTGTTACATCCAACGGTCTTTCCTATTGTTTATTCACCCTTGCCGTTTCTGACAAGCTCCAGAGGCACTAGACAGGTACGTACCGGTTGATGGCTTGCCAATGAAATTTCTTAATCTTCGGGTTGAATTCCAGAGCTCAAGCTCCGGTACGTACCGAGTCATGGTGGGGCCCGAGCTTTTCCATGTCTCCAACCACGCACACTGGGACCTGGGACCTGGAAGGTGCGCTCTGGGCCCGGTGGGAGAATGGGAAGGGGACAACAGGGAAAGAAGTATCCGTAGAAGAAAAGAAAAAGAAAGAAGGAAGGAGACAGGTTGCCTACCTAATGTACCATAGGTAATGTATTTCGTACTTAGATCACTTACTAAATGCATCGTCTTCGTGGAATCGAAAACAGAGCCAGTGTACCCAGCCTTTCCAGAGACTCATTTCACCCAAATATGTAGCTTGCCGACAAGCGCGCACGTTATCGGCATGGTGGGCTCTTCCCTTTCTTTCTTACGGCGTATCCGTACCGAACAGTAACTGGACACTAACAGTGAACAGATAACATTGACTACGACCCCCGCCCGCCCGGGTCTGACTGCCTGACTGCACAGGCGATGGGCGGTGGGCGGTGGGGGGGAAGAGGGACTCCAGAGTTCAAACAATCGAGCGATGCAAGGCGAGACATGGGACAGCAACCATTCTGGATTATGGATATGCATCCCGCACAAAGCAGCAGGGCAGCACATGCTTGCCAGGAATTGGAGCTTCCCACTGGTCGAAGGCTCAATGCTGCTATCGTCGTGCATGTGGGCGGGGAGGCATGACCCTGCACACCCTGGTTCGACCTGCACTGCGCTGCACCTCGGGGTACGGAGCGGGAGTACGGAGTGCCATCTGCATGCCTTCATTTTGTTGTACGGATACTCTGCATTCATTGCGTCTTGTTGCTTGTCTCGTTGGCTTCATTCCTCCGAACGAGCCATCGGCAGCCTGCGGCGTCATGTTGAACATATACGCTATTATCCGTGCCTTGCCTAGTACTCTCTGAGTCTCCGATGATGACCAAGGCAAGGCTTACAAGGTGCTCCATACGCAAGAACAGACCACCGTGACAACGAGGGACGAGTCACGACAACAAGGCGGGACGACCAAGGGCGAGGGACGAGAGGGACGAGGACAAGCCCTGTACGAAGTATCGTTGAGAACCTTCGTCTTCACGTACACACCACAGACTCCCAGTCCCAGACCCGACAACCACGGTGAACATACAAAGTACACATCATCCAGACTAGACTGTTATTACGCAGTGCCGAGCAGACAAGCCAGACACTGACGCTCGCACGCTCGCCCCCTCCACACCTTTTTCTCCCCCTTCAGGGCTTCCCCTTCCCTCGCTTTCTCGGATCCAGAGCCAAGGTACCTTTGCTGGGTCCCGCTCCAGCTGCTAACCCATTGTTGCTCGCCGCGGACTGTCTCGTTGCTGCTCCGGCCTCGTCTTCCCTGTGCTGTGCGGATACCTGTACCTACCTTTCTAGCCAAACGGATCCAAACTCGGACCAGTGTGAGTGTCACTGTGGATATCCCAACTTGTTCTTGTCTACCAGGCAGGAACTCGACATGCTTCCATGATCCAGGACAGGCCTTCCAAAGTTCCATCCATTCATTGTCGCCGTCGTCAGCCATACACTCGTCGTCGTTGCCCTGTGCTAACCATTGGAAGTGCCAGACAAACAGACTGACTGGTCTTGAGTGTCTGACTTAGAGAGAGAGAAAGAGAGAGAGAGAGAGACGCACCAAGGAAAAGAACAGCCCGAGGGATGCAATCCAAGGACTGACGTGACAGACTGAGAGCCCGGGGGCCGAAGCCAGAGAAAGAGCCAGAGCCAGAGCCAGAACCACTGACAGCCAGTTCAGGAACTTACCTTAGCTTTTCTTTCCCTTGACCTCCCCACCACCCAAAAACTCTCGATTCTGCAACAACTTGGGCTATTCTCCCTCCATCTCTTTTCTTTTCCTCTCTTCCTTCTTTTTTTGTTTTTCCCTCCCCCTCCCCTCCCCTCCTTCCCGCGTCACAACTCGGGCATCTACAGATCCTGCCTGCGATCTCGGGACACAGACGCCCTGCCGACTGACTCCCTTACTCCCCCTCTCTATCGGCCAGAGGGAAAACAACAAAGTACAGCAGCGCGATCGATAGCCACGCCCTGGGCCAACGTCATTTTGGCTACTGCTGCTATTTCTCTCTCCTCGCCTCGCCCAGGTCCGAGGTCGGCTCCCACAACACCTGCGTTCTCTTTGGACCGCTGCGAACCGAACCGAGACGCCGTTGCCAGAAAAATCCCATCCCGTACTACCCCAAACGACTCCAAACTCCAACTCCAATCGCCATCAGAGCTCAGCCATTGATCGCTTTCTTTTTGGCGTTTCTCCCCGCCACTCGGGAGTGGGGTACTAGCAAACATGGGCAGCTTTGCTCAGTGCAGCTGGCCGATATGGGACATTGATGATTTCACACCGTGCTTCCAGCAAGAGTGAGTCTTTTTGTCCTCAAGCCCGCCTCCTCACCAGGTCGCATCACGGCGCAACAAATCGCGATGCCCTCAACCCGCCAATGCCGACCGCCTTGAACTGCAATTCGATAGTTTAGCCGAACCGGTTGCCCACCGCACTTGTCCCGTTAACTGACTACCCATCTCTCGTAGCTACCTCAAAATCCTGTTTCCTCTAATTGTCATAGGCTTGTCTGTCCTTCACCTCAGCCTGCAGGCGATCCGAAGTGTCGCGAAGAACCGCAAGCAAGGCTACCAACAAGTCCCGGAAGAGCACCACCACGGCCACACCGACATTCCTCCCGAGGAGACCGAGGATGAAGATGACGAGGCGCTGACCATGAACGGCGGCGGTCGCCTTGCTCTGGTCAAGACTACCACCAAGGGATCCATTGTCCAGGCCGACAGCCCCCCGGCCCAGAACTTGACCATTGTCGTCGAGGAGCTTGGAATCGCTGGTCTGATCGCGATACACATTATTGCATTGGTCACTGGGACTGTCCCGGGCCAGCATGGTCTCTTGGTCACCATCGTCGGTTTGGTCACCTGGGTTTACGTCGCCATTCTCGCCACTCTCCGACTCTTCCTCGGCAACACGAAATGGCGCGTTCCTCGCATCTGGAACCACACCGCCGCCATTTACCTGTTCCAGTGGTTGTTCACCGTCGGCATCTTCCGCTCCGTCATTATTCACCCGAGCAGCCGCCTTGCGCAAACGCTCGTCATTGTCGAGTTTGTCTTGACTTCGCTTCTCTTCGGCCTGGCGATTACGACACGCAAAGGCAACAAGACGGTGCTGTTGGAATGGGAAGGCGACATTGAGCCCTCGCGCGAGCCACTCGCCTCTCTCTTTTCCCTGGCCACGTTCTCTTGGGTGGACCCCATCATCTCCCGCGGCTACAAGGAAACATTGGAAATGAAGAACGTCTGGAACTTGGTCCCCAAGGAGAAGGCTGCCGCTGTTCTTGCCGACTACCGGGCAATGAAGAGAACCTCGACCTTAGCTTGGCACTTGCTCAAGTACTTCAAGGGCGAGCTTCTGCTGCAATTCGCTCTGGCTGCTTTCGCAGGCGTCTTCACTTTTGCTCCGACGTTGCTACTCAAGGCCATTCTCGAATACGTGGAGAGGCCCGAGGGCGCTCCTATCAACGTCTTGTGGTTGTACGTGATTCTCTTGCCAGTCCTCGACATTGTCAGGTCTTTCGCCGACAACTATGCCCTCTGGATTGGTCGCAAGATTTGCATTCGCATTCGC